ATTGTTGACATGCTTCCGTTCGTTTGAAAACGTGCCCTGACAGCTCACTGTAATTTAACCGGAGAACCACTAGCGTAAGGCAATTTTGCCATGGTATAAGTACCACTCAATTTCAAAATGGCTAGGGAAAGTGCAACTTCTGACTTCAAATTCTACTCTAGGTTCTGCCCGTGTGCTTGAATCAACGAGCAAATTGGCCGGAACTATAAATTGTCGCAAGGACTGATTCAATCCAGGTGAACGTTAGTAGTTGTTCAACTACGTACCTCTACTAAAATTTTGACTTACAGAATGCTTCGAAGTGGTCCAACCTGGTATCTAAAAGGGGACGATCTAGACCCCACACTTTTTAGCCACAAGTAGAGAACCAACACTGATAAAAAAAACATGCTTGATAGTGTATATGATCGACTGATCCCATGGAAGAGGATCCGACAGAAAGTTGAGTGTAGATGCTGACTAATGGTCTTACAAAGGTGAAATAACCGCTAAATATTTCTCTCAGCGTATCTCCCCCTCTTTGTGTTATTTGTCCATACGGTAAAATAAAAGGCTGTGCATATAGAATAATTTATCACTTCAATGTCAGGCTTGTAACTCAACCTATATTGAATGAAACAGGAAGGCTCTAGCCATTCATGCCAAGAGAACTGACTAGCATGAGACGCGGTATTCGCTTCAACAGCTATTGGAAGGATGAGTTCGAAAGCACTGTGGCGTGTATCGGAAATAAAATGTACTGTGCTTGGCGTATGAGGCGGAAATTGTTGCGAGAAAAGCACTGGAAGCATAATGGATTGCCAGCAAAGAACGGCCGAGAAAATCGCCTTTCAATGACAAGTGATCTTTTGCCGTTTACCGCACTGTTAATTGTAGAATAAAGCCTACTTTCGTCTCCCAACTATCACTAAAATCAGGAGAGAATATGACATATGCAATATTTGAAACTAATTAACACCTCGGGTGGTAGCCGGGTCCCCGCTAAAACGGTGGAACCCCAGAGTAATCTTGTATATGTTTCTCGCTGAGTCCCTGACGCTACGTCGGAACCGCTAAGGAAGATAAGGCGTCTCATGGATTGGAGAGTAAATCCTAACCTTGAATCATGTTCAATCCTCAAAAGAAGACGAGTTTGTCAAACGTTAGGCCGATGTCATAGTTTGCGAATCGAGCGATTCGCTAGCGAATCGCTGGATCCGAGCGTTGCGCCAGCGAATCGAACGTTGCACCAGCGAATCGAACTTTGCACCAGCGAGTCGAACGATGTACCAGCGAGTCGAACGACCAGCGACTCAATAGTGGCGGGACCCAACGTTCAAAGGAAGCCCGCCACTTTCAAACAGTGTCCACTGTCACGTGACACTGTTTGAAAGTGGCGGGCTTCCTTTGAACGTTGGGTCCCGCCACTATTCGCTGGTACATCGTTCGACTCGCTGGTACAAGTTCGATTCGCTGGTGCAACGTTCGATTCGCTGGCGCAACGCTCGGATCCAGCGATTCGCTAGCGAATCGCTCGATTCGCAAACTATGACATCGGCCTTAGGCCAATCTGATGGATGTTTCGGCTTTCTCCTATGAACTTTGAACGGCGGAACCAACTGACACAAATAATAGCCGAAATTATTTTTAACAAAATATGAATAGAATAAATTCCTTCATCTCATCTCTACTTTTTGGTGTGACATCACCCGTTGCGGCGAAAGAGCAGCTCGATCGTCTCTATCTCCACGACAATGCACGAATAATGAAATGGTTGATGTTGATCAACTCTGCTGGTGGCGCTACATACAGCTCTGCAGGCTGGGCCAAAATAATGAGGACCAAGACAAAATGTCGTCAAAAACGCATTGTGGCTTGATGGAACAAACAAACTTCAGGGAAGTGTTTGTAACTCTTATCTCAAAGTAATTCCAGAATAGAATTGAGATCTGCCACCTGCCGCGTTTACACGAGCCTTCAGATGAAGGGGATGGCGCGTGCGGTGGCACGCAACTAAGGCGTGTCAAAATGTTTCCAGGCCTTCTGCTCTGCCTTCTTCAGGGAATCAAAGTTTTGTGGGCATTTATTTGCGCTTGCATCCAGGGTGTGAAATACAGAAATCTAGAGAAATTAGTGGACGATTCCTAAGTAACAATTCTTCGAAAGCAATGAACGCGAAAAATCGCCTTTTAGAGGATTTTCCTTTATTCTTGCGTGCTCGATCCATTTACGGTGGTTCCGAACTTACTTAAGCGTCCAACCATTGCCCATAAGTATTTCTTTGCTACGTTGAACTGCTACTAAGAGTGACGCGCCAGAACCCTTAGAGAGTTCAATTTGAAGATTGACGTACCGCGATGTGCGGTCCGTTGGACACTTCATTAGACCTCATAGAATCTTCGTTGATAGGTTGCTTTCTGTAACGATAGCGGCACATATCAGCTACTTGGACCCTCCTCTACCCGCTCCACTACTTATACTTCTCATTCATGAAGACCAGCTTTCACCGCGAGTTTTATCGTTGCACTTGGTTCGGCAACATTAGTCGACCGGAGAACAGCCTGTTGTTCAAGGGGAGGGATAGGGTCACACCGAAGTCTCTGTCAAGTGAGGAAGGTCGTACTGTCTGCCGTTCCTGAGCAATATGTTTGCCCTGCTTATAAACCCGTGCATCAGAGTGTGAAATGGAGCATTATATGTTCCAATCTCCTAGCAAAAAAAAAACTGTACGGTGCCAAAAAGTACAGGGTGGGCAAGAATTACGGTAACAAGGGAGTGCCGTTAACAATTCTCGATTTTAAACACCAGGTACTTTTGATGTAAATTCTGCGTATTTATTTTGATTTGTGGTATTCCATCGTTTGATTTCGTCACATGAAGTGTATCAGTTTCGCAGTGGAGAATCTTATCTTCTTGAGGAACGAACACCACATTGTTCTGTTTTGTTTTGTTACAATGTGAGACGATTGGAGGCTCCATGAAATTTCCGTCAACCACCATTACGAAGTTTTTTTTTACCTTTTCTACTGCCATTCACCAGCAGTAATCCTGAACGAGTAAGGATTCCTTCTGTGCTCTCACGCGTAATTTTAAAGAAGCGCTAGAGGCCAGCTCAACCCTCGTTAAAGCGAGGGATTACGATAAGTTTGGACTGGGTTCATAGTGGAAGTGGAGATGCTGAATAATGCCCCAGTGGCGAAAAAAGCAAAGAAATCCGTCAAGAAGGCGCAAAATGGGACCCCTTTCTTTGCCCGTTGACCTCCGATAATGGACGAGCTAGCAACCAATTAAGAGGTCTTTTGCACATGTTAACCGATAGCCACCATCATACCAGCAAAGGCCATGCTTTGATTGGTAACGCGTTCCATGGGAAAGTTATAGGATACGCACTCACAGCGGAATACCTCATCAAAACGATAATCGAAGGACGCTGCGCTGGGGGCGGGGCACAGGCCGTGGCGGAGCTCAGAAAGGAATGGCAGCGCACCTTTGGCCACAAAAACGCAACATTTCGCTTTCCTTCGGCCCCTGACTACTGCTTCCACTGGTGCATGTACTTCCACGCTGCACACACACTTTATCGTAATCTCTCGCTTTAAGTCGCTGAAACAAGCGCTTTGATAGCACGTGTTTAAGAGGAAGGTTTACGAGCGTAGAATGCTAACTTCTAACCGATGAAAGCAAGTCGAATGTAAAGCAAAGATGACAGTGAACAATGTCTTGATCTCGTTATGAGCATCGTCGATCGTTCCCCTCATAAGAAGATATTCTGCAGCCAGGCCACTCCTTAAATGAAGAAGACAACCGGACTAGTTCTAGTACGAGTTAACCAGCCATTCAGTGATAGTTGTCGCAGAAGTTGTAAGAGCAGGAATCACGGATAGAAGACATGTTGGACCTTTGCTGCTCTACAAACCGAGAGGACCTTCAAACGGGTGCAAATGAAATCAGAGCAAGCATGGACGCCCATCCAAATGCGAACATTGTCCAATAATTGATGTCAACAGAATATCGGCAATTCATCACGTTGATGATGAGGCAACATCGCTCTTTCAGCTAAGTCTAACGAAAGCTCTTATCGAGTGTGCAGAAGGCAAACCACCGCTACAAGCATAACAGAAACATCGATCCGTTGAGCCTTGAACCTGCTCCACTATACAGACCTACACATTGGAGCAGATTACTTCCTTGGAGCCTTCGTTTGTGCATCAATGCAGAAAGCGGCCACTCCGAGGAGTAATATTGTTTCCTATTCAACAACCCCTCACCAGAATGATGGTTTTGATTTGGGCCTTCTGTTACACATTAGGTTTTTATGACCAATTTATCTCCTACCGTAAATTAGTTTTCGCCCAGCCTGTAGACCTAGGTATAGTTAATTTTAAATTCAAGTGGAAATAAATTAAACAGCAATATAATAAGTAATGCAAGTTCCTATGAATGGTTGAGTCGCAAACTTGTTGAGGGCATGTGCGAAACGGAAACTAGACTACCTTGTTATCTAGAACCCTTATAAATTATTCATTTATATTTACAAACTTAATCATTAAAATTTAAATTATTAAGTTATTAAA